AATTGTTGCTGGGGGGGTTTTTCACTACTGACTATAGAAATTGCTAATTTTTTCAATGCGTGAGGTCTTTTATTTACTACAGCAGCATTTCTTTGTCGTGTAGAAAACCTGAGATGAACTGTGGAAATGACATTTCTTTTTCTTATCTTAAAATATCTCAGGCAGTCAATGTGTAGTCTTTAAACTCACAGGAGGGGAAACTTCACTTGTCCGGCCCACTTATGATCAAAGAGGGCTGTATGTGGCCCTCGATGTGAAAAGAGTTGGACATCTGTGATTTAAAATTTAGTAGTAGTTAGTAAAAAGGAAAAAACTCACATAATTTCCCTGAGTACCATGAACATGTTTTGCAGACTTTTTCACTAAAACTCTTTTTTTTGTGGGGAATTGTAATGACAGTATAGGAGTGTGTGATACTTTAGCACTGCTCACAGTGAGGGCAAAAGCAAATGTAAGGGCGCAGTGTTGAGAAGTGACATTTTCATTTCTTCAAAATGAAGAAGTCTGCTGTTACGCGTCAAGTTATAAAAAGTTGTAAAAGTTTTACCACCTACTTTTGAATCTAGATTGAATAAACTTTAAACCAAACTAAACTGTGCCCACAGCACAGAGATCCCAACACTGCAAAAAAAGAGAAAGATTTAGGGTATTAATTTACGTTCATCATGTGATTTTGTTTTTCAGACAGGAGATGTTTGCCAGGACTGCACCAAAATATTTGAACTCCTTGTTGACATGCTTTCCAATGCAGACCTGCAGGTGAGTACACCTGGTGCCAGAGGAGCAAACACATTCCTAAATGTTCAAATTTGCTCACTGATAATATTATCCACATCTTCCATTCCCATATTAAATATATTATATAAGATTAAAATATGAGACCTGTGGCATGAATAAAGAAAAACTAAATATTTTACATTCCAGGAATTTTTAGCGTAATCTTATCATCTAAAGCACATTTTTCACCTTCAGAGATGTAAATAATCAGTTGTGCATGTCTTAAAAACACACACACCAAACTAAAGGTCACTTCATAGTTTTGGTGGTGAGCCACTTCCTATTTTTTCTAAGAAAAGTTGAAATGAAATTTACCATTCAAATTTTGACACACACACACACACACACACACACACACTTGACTTCCAAGATCCTCTTTTGATCTAGCCTGATCTGGTTTACAGGCTCCAAAGACAGAAATAAGTTGTTTTTTTATCACTTATGTTGATGAACATTGATATAAAAGAGGATGTACACATGGAAAGATGCAGAAAAAGATGTCTGGGATTTATTACATAGTATGTGTCTGGAGCTTATGTAGCACAGCAGCATGCTGGTGTGAAGTCAAGCAATGCCTTTATTTAATGAACACAGCAGTATTGTGAACACCCCCTTGTTTTCCTTTTTCACACTAACATGGAGCGATGTATATATATAAAAAAGAAACAACACATTAGTGTCTGAATATTTGAGTTTCACCAAACACAGCATTGCTCAGTGTCCACGCTTCACCTTTAAATCTGCTCGGTTCTGCCGCTACGAAGTAACACCTAAAAAATACCAGCGTTTAAGTATGAGTGCACACTGTTAATCTCAAAAAACAAAAGTCAACCAAATATCTGTTTAAAAAAAAAAACCTGTTACACAATACTGTGCAAAAGTCTTGAACCACCCCTCATTTGGTTGTGTTTTGCTGGGGAAAAGGTGCAGTGGTTTATTGCAATGTGCAAACATACATGGAAATATAGCATAAGAGACAAAAACAGAGTCTGATTCTAATGAGGTTGAAAGTCAGTATTTGGTATGACCGCCTTTATTCTTCAACACACCCTGAACTGTTTTCTTGTTATTTCTTAATATTCTTATTAGTCTTCAGAAATAGTTCTCCGGGCTTCTTGAAGGACATTCAAAGCTCTTCTTTGGATGTCGGCTGCCTTTTGTTCTGCCCTCTGTCAAGATGATCCCACACTGCTTCAATAATGCTGAGCTCTGGGCTCTGAGAGGCCCATCCATTACCATTAGTGGCAGGCACACTACTGGATGAAATGCATCCCCACACAACAGGAGATGCCAGATGGCTGTAAACACTCACTGTTGGATCGCTTTACTGAGCTCCTCTGAAAATGACTTAAACCCAAAATGTTTCAAATGATGATTCATCACTCCATAAGTCCTGTTGCCACTGATTTTCAGTGTAATTTGGTCAACCTTCTCTCGTTATTTACCTTCCTCAAGAATGGCTTCCTGACAACCACCCTGTCCACTCAGACCATCTCTTGTTAGGCTATGGTGAACACTTTTATCCTCTATTTGTCAAGTTTCCTGAAACTTTTTACGGACACGCTGCACCCGTCTGCCAACCTTTGATTAGGTTGGTGCAAAAATACTACTAATACCAGGGTTTTGATGCTTGAATGCATCATAGGTCAGTATTAAGTGTCTTAACAAGAAAAGGGTTCCTCAAGAGTTTTAAATAGTGTTATGTAGAGGAAAACTAAAATAATGTGAGAAAATATGGAAACATATAAATAAAAAGTAACATATTTGTGTAATGCCTTGTTCTCAACCACTACCACATGACACCATAGTAAACAAGTCTGGAAAAAAAAACCCTGCTACTGTTAGGCACAAATAGAAAACTGAATAGTATTCATTCAGTTCACTTGTTAACTCTGTGACTGTTAAGATTTTGTACTGAAGCTTTATATCCACAACACTGATTCTGTTTTAGGGCCTCACATAGTATTAGTAGGTGGTTAATGAACAAGTTGTGATTGGATGAAAGCTAAAGGGGCAGAAGACAGACTTAAATGCATTTTAATAAATCAACAAGTTTATTTATGTAATGTGAAAACAAACAAACAAAAAAAATGCCACACCTGCTTCTCTGCTTATTTAGCTGAAGACAAATTGGGCTACCAGTCTTTAAGTCAATATTCTGACTCACCGCTTTATTCTGCACAGAAAAAGATCATGAATGGCATTGAAGGCATGTGTGCACTCATGCACGGTCCAGCTGCCAATCTCTGCAAACAAGAGGTGGAGAAGATGTTCCCACTGGCCATCAATTTTGTTACTTCCATCTTGGTAAGTCTGAGAAGTCCAAGACCAGATGCATCCTTGAGTATGGCATTTCTGACACTACTGAGAGGTCAGTAAACACGTTTTTCTCTCTTCCACAGAAACCAGCGGAGGTGTGCAAAATCCTTGGGCTCTGCAGCTCTTGTGATAAAGAGCAGATGCTCAGCTATTTTGCCCAGGAGGCCCTTCAGGCTGCTGTGACAAATGATAATGTGAGTATCTGAAGTCTAGAAAGACACACTGTGGGGAAAAAAGAAAAAGAAAAAACATTGTGCTGAACTCTTGCCATTTATGTGCCTCAATCAGGTGAAGCCCTCAACCGAATGCTCGTTCTGCACCTTCCTCATCAAGACTTTGGAGGGTTTGCTTCCCAAAGAAAGAACAGAGGTGAAACACGGTTATGTAGCGCACATGAAAACAGTATTTCCTTGTGCTGCACACAGACACTTAAAAGCAATCAGACCACACAGCTGAGAGTAATCACTGCCTGTTTTTTTTGTTGTTTTTTTTTTTTAAACCCTGCTCCTCTTCTACAGGAAGCAGTGGTCAAGCTGCTGGAAGAGATCTGCCATATTCTGCCGGCCTCCTACCGCAACCAGTGTGAGACTGTGATCGACAAGGTCAGCAGGACAGTGCTGGACGCAATCCTGGCTTATGCGACCCCGCAGGCCATCTGTCACCTCATGCACTTCTGTAAAGGGGAAGAATCTCCGTTTGTGGGTCAGTTTATTCTCCCTTGCTTTTATTGCAGTGATTGTGATCGTTTACTTAATCTGTCATATGTTGGACACAAGATCTCCAGAGACCGGGATGACCAATAATTTATCTTGTACATGCTTTATATTTAAAAAGTTTAAGTGCAGACCTAATATGGCATAATTACACATTAGTTACAACTGCGTCATTCATGCATTACAGTACTTTTTAGGCCCAGGAAATGAGATTTAAATTGGATGCATCCCTCTAATCTGAAAGTACAAATCAAAATATACAAAACGTCCCTTTAAAGAATTCTCAGTTACCAAGTGAACTTTCTTCTATCTCCTGCTTTAAACCTGCAGATCCATGCACTCTGACAACATACAGATGCAGAGACGTCAAGACTGCTCTCAAGTGTGGAGTAAGTAAACCTCTATTACAATGAATCCACCCATTCAGCTTTCAGACACTGCAGTATTACATGCGATGCATGTCTCACTCTGTGCAGACTCTGTTCTACTGCCACAAATTTGCCTGGAAGCCTCTGAACTACAACACAATCTGAAGGATTAAGGTGGGTGTACATTGATTACACACAAACTGAAATCAAAGTAAAAAACATTCAGTATCAATAACAAAACTTCTTTTCAAAGCAGATCCAATAAGAGTCAGCGTGGTGGACGCAGCAGATATTTCATCGAGCACCAAATCTTCATCAGCTTGACATCTGCAGCATTTTAACAGTATTTCACATCCCAATTTGATTTCTTACTGCATATTGTAATTTTTGCATTACATATTCAGCCTGCACAGAGTTATGAAATCCAGAAAACATTGTGTTTAAGTGTCATCTTTACTCTGCTACTTCTTGTAGCAGAGTAAATATTACTGGCTCAGAGTTAGATTTCACTTATTGCCTGTGCTTTTTTTTTTTTTATACCAACCATTTATCAAGTTTCCTGTCTCTTCTTTAATAAAGTGCTTTTGTAGTGTTTCCCAGCGGACTTGATAACTCATCCTTTGCTGTTAAATAGATTTATGTTTGAGAGTTAGAAGTCAGATGAGGTAAATGAAGTGAGTCGACTGCTGAATGTAGGGTGGGCACAGACTTTAGTCTTTAGTCATCTTCCTACTTTCAAGTCAGCAGTTTGGCAGAAGTAATAAAGCACAAATAGAGACCATTTCTGTCTAAGGAAGTGTTCGTCTTTACCACCTCGCAGACATAGGATCACTTCTGCTTTATTTAAAAACATATGAAAGTGTCATCTACAGCAGCACAGTTTAAAGATGTTGAAGTTAGCCCTTCACATAAAACAAGCACAGCCTGTAAGCACAAAGCAAGGGTGCATTTTATTTCAACAGTTTAAGAGAAAGTCAACAACAAATCACACTCTGAAATACCAAAGACGGAAACTAGCCTTGGGGTTGTCGGGGTCAAAATGGTAAGTTGTGTACTTGGAGGTAGGGGAAGAGGAAATTTGCAAGAGGAGAAAAGGCACTTTTTTACCCCCCATGTTTAGCAACTGCTGACAGACTTAAATGATTTAAAACACAAAAACAGTGAACAAGGGAGGGAGTGCTCCTCAAACACATCGTCCACAGGAGGAGACATGTAAACAGGCTGGTTTCTCTGTACAACACCAACTACCATTTTCTCCATCTGTGGATGAGCGAGAAGAGACAACGTTTAAAAAGTAGGTTCCTTAATTTAAATAACCAGCGTGACATTAGCCCCTTTTAGACACAGCATCCTGTTATTGTGATTGCATCCTGATGCGTTTGCTGCATGCCTGAAAGAGCACGATGAAAAAAATAAATTCTTACCAAACACTGCAACATTAATATATCACTTTAAACATGCGCCAAGTCTGAATGAATGCAGTCACATAAATGCGACACCTGCATCTCCGTGGGTTGCTCAACTCACAAGACAGCAACCTAGAAATAAATTCACTGGACATGGCAAGTTATCTCACCAACTCTTCCACCTGGCGGCAAGATTAAAACAGTCATCTACAACTGATCTCTCCATCCCTCTATCAGAGGCTGTGTGTGAGGGTGCAGATCTGAGAAGCACAGTGCAGCAGACGGCAAAAGGGGAACAGTAAAGTGTGGTTACACTTCCCAGGAGAAAATTTCACTAGCACAGCAATAAGTGCAAGTAGTCTTTTGCACAAATGCCAGATAAAAAGCCTGTGGGATGACCGTCACTATTGTGGGAGTGTCTGAAAAAAGGTGAGGGGAACATTAACCCTCTTTCAGACATGTTTGCCAGATTTGTAGGAGTAATTTAAATCTGTAGTACATGCAACGAGCCACAAGGTGGTGCTACAGGAGTCAGACTAAAGACCTACTTCACTATCATTTTGGGGAACACAGCACCATCTAGCTGCATGATGCAGGCATATTTTAAACCTGCCAATAACCAACACAGGAACATCTGCGTGCTGTAAGCCTGAGTTCAATCAGCAAATCAGCATTTAGGTGAGAAGTGCAACAGGAAAAGCATTTAAAGGCAAATACTCTATAAAAGCCTCAGGTTTGAATCTGGCCAGGGTCTGACAATCACGCATACATGAACAATCTAGAGTTTTAGCAAAAAAAGTGTATCAGTCTCTTTAAAAGAACAGCAGTTATCTCAGAACAGTTTCTCATGGAAACATTTGATTTGTCACAATCATAGCCCACAATGTATGGCATTAAATATGAATACATCTCTTTAAAAACAAATATTTTAAAAGAAAAGCTTCTTTTACAACTTCTGCATTCAATGCACAGAATCTGTACATGCAATATGTAATTTAGGTAACCTTAAAAACTACTAACTGCAGCTGTGCGGCGCTCACATCTTTGTGATGTAGCTTTACTCTTCATGTTCCACTTTCCCATTAAAAAAAAAAAATAAAATTGACTTGACAAACATTAAGTTCTCCCTCCTTGCTGGTCAAACTTAGGTCCCACATTCAAACACCATAAAATATTTCAAGTACGGTGTTTCCATGAGCCCTTGCTTAGAGGTGACGGAGCCCAGGTTTCTCTGTAATACACCCAGACTCTGTCTCAGTAATGCGCCTTCATCTTGGTCAGCAGAACGTTGACCAATTTAACATCATTTGTAACATTCACATGGTTTTAAAACCTACAAAATAAATCGAGGTACAGCCCAACATAACCACGAGATCATAGCAGCTTCTGACTTCTCTGTAAAACGTCAGAAAACACTGGCCTGAAGGGACAGCACAAACAAAAATAGAAATAAATAGAAAAAAAAACAAAACTGTAGCGTTTGACCCATCTTTGCCATCAAGAGGTTTATATTAAAAAAAAAAACAAAAAAAAAACAAAACTTTTTTTTAAAAGGAGTGCAAGCAGAATAGAAGATGTTTCTGTACTGTGAAGTTACCGTCAAGTTAGACAAAACATTTCCACTGATCACTTCTAAAACTACACTGCAGTGAGATTCTGAATTTTGTGGTTGTGGATACTCGAAGTGTTTTCATTACTGTATGCAAGTATGGTTTTAATATAGAAGTGTCAATAATACCAGATTTGCTGACATACAAATCGGTGCACTCTTTCCATAGGTGTGCCAGGAAACATGATCGCCATTAATTATGCAAAAGAAAAAGAAATTCACCAGAAATTATTTGAATCTGGCCGTAGCGCTTAAACTCTGGTCTTGGCAACTGAACTGAAATAGCCATTTTTTCTCTGCAGGGATGTGTAACAACATGTGGATAAAGGGCATTTTGTATGTAGCAAAAGGCTGTCAAAGTGTAGCTGTTTGTGAGAGGAAGAATTTTAAAGGGAGAAGACTGGAAGGAGGACAGATACAAGGCCCATTAAGCAGGAGGGGGGTGTTCAGTACATGAGCTTCTTTGGCACCTCCCATGAAAAGACGTCACGACCAAAGTGACCGTAAGCTGCTGTGTGCTGGTAGATGGGCTTCTTCAGGTCAAGATCCCTGAAACAAGAATTAAATAGAGTAACTCGCCAGCTAAACATTTAAACATTTCTGCTCTTGGTATTCGGTGTCACAAATGCGGTTTGGTTAGAGGAACTGTTTTAACAACATACAATAGCTGAAACTTGTTGTTTAGAGGTGTTAAAAACACAAGATGATTGTAGAGGAATGTTATATCATATAACTCAAATACACACGCAATAGTTGCACAGCCAATGTTTTATCTCATCTAACAGACTAGGCTCCATTTTGAGAGTTTTCTGACATTTAGGCCCCAGACCCTCACCCAAGAGAGAGAGAGGGAATAACATCTGATTGGGTGAATGACACTTTCACTGCTGAAATATCATAGAGAAGTAAAACCTACTTTGTGCACAATTTCACCTACCAACTACTTGCCAGCTGGTCAAGGAATCCACATTTTTCTCCATAGTAACCGTAGGCTGCCAGATGGTCACCGACCAGTTTCTAGGCCTGTACAGCTAAGGACTTAGACTACATGACTAGCCTTTTTATGGCGCTTGTTTAAAACCAAATTACAACAATCCTAATAAAACAGAACTGAAGTGCAGGTTTGGTAGCAAAGACCTGATACTGTCACAGAATACCTGACAATAACTCCTGGACGGAGGTCAAAGTTCTTGTTCACAATGTCCAGCAGCTCCCTTTCACTCTTCTGGGAGGTCCCGTAGTGGAAGATTGAGACAGAGAGGGGATGGGAAACACCAATGGCATAGGATACCTAAAACAATTGTTAATCATAAACACATCATTCAAAAATAATGACAGGGGAGATATTTTAACACCAAAGCACTCCACGTGTGCTTTAGTACACTGATTAAAGTCAAACATCTTCTCCAATTCAATTATGAGTGTGATAATACAGAGCTGATAATTGCTGCAGTTAAGCCCAGGAATAGCGAGCTTACGGACAAGCTGCAGAGACCAGTTAGAACTGCTCACCACTTGATTTGCTTTCCCAATAGAGCAGCATTGAGAACTGTAGAGTACATTTTACAACACATACTGTACACACTGATCAACAACTCAAGTCTAGGCAGTCACATAGAAAATATTTTCTACGCTCTTAGAAAGCACAGGAATCCAATACCAGCAAATACAAATCCAGAGCAAGATGCAATGATGCATGTACAATGGTAACAGGTTTTTGCAGACAAATTAAATATGAAAACATTAGAAGGTGATTAAACCAACAAGCAGAATTCGATAGATGACAAGCTGGTGCACGACTGTCTACGGGGAGCTGTAATCACTGCTTTTTGTGAGATGTAAAACCATGAATTTGAGTACCTTCAGTTCTAGAGGCAGCCGAGTTTTAAATCCCATTATATGCAGGTTTTAGATTGAGTAAAACTGATATACTGTGTACTCACCTGGACCAAGACACGCTTGCAGAGCCCAGCTTTTACTAGAGATTTGGCCACCCAACGGGCAGCGTAGGCTGCAGAGCGGTCTACCTTTGTGTAGTCCTTCCCAGAAAAAGCGCCACCGCCATGGGCTCCCCAACCCCCGTAAGTATCAACAATAATCTTACGCCCGGTCAGTCCAGCATCACCCTGCCAGAAGTAAAGGTGGAGGTATTAGTCCATAAAATCTCACTAGAAAGTTTAATGACCTTAGTGTGACAGCATGGCTGCCTTCAAAAGGTTTACAGCTTTTGTTTCACCTGTGGTCCTCCAATGACAAAGCGACCACTGGGCTGCAGGTGGTAGATTGTGTCATCGTCAAGAAACCCGCTGGGAACCACGGCTTTCACCACCCGCTCCTTCAGAGAGCAACGCATCTCATCCAAACCTACGGCCTCATCGTGTTGCACAGAGATCACAATTGTGTGGACGCGCAGAGGGACCATGGCTCCTCTATCCTGCCTGTACAGAACAGTCACCTGAGGGAGAAAACAAAGACAGGCGATGGCTCCAGCTAGTATGATCACAGGTTTGAACAAACGTAAGCAAAACAGTTTGCAGGAACATCCTGCAATAATAATGACATGCATCTATATTTACCGCAAATATTTTCACTGCCTGTGGCTAAAGCATTGATAGTTAATGTGAGGATGTCTTTTAGCTAACAGTATCTTTCCAAAAAAAAAAAAAAAAAAGCATAAAAAACCCACAACACAAATCTTCCATTTCTTGCAGAGCTCCCAAAATGTAGGACAGACAGTATTGTCCAATTCTATCTGAACTATAAATATAAATGGTATAAAGATGATGTAGCTTCTGTGTTTGAAAAGTGAAACCTGTGCACAAAAGCTTTAAATGTGCAATGTTTTTAAGGTCCACCAGGTGGAGATACCTGCAGTTGGCCTATGGGAGGACTTTCTTTTTTCACATTGCTTTTCTGGTCTTTCTCCTTCAGATAACAGTAGTGGGGAAATGAGGGATTAGGGGGAAAGACATGCAGCAGTGAACCTTTGATTGGAGTTGAACTCTGGCTGTTGCATTTAGCTTTTCAACACACAGTCACCTGCTTACTATGCAAGATAAACTGGTGCACAGGAAAGACTAAGAGTAAACATGTTCAAGTCAGAACATACTCTTTACAAGTCAGTTTTATAAACCGTCTTAACACATCCCATCAGAAAGGAGGATAATCTATGGTATGACTTTTGTTTACCAAGTTGTTAGCCAATGAGTGTGCAGTTTCACAGTCAAACCCGCTCCTCTCTCCTCACATCAGATTTTAAAAAAAATAAATAAATAAAAAAAAATCATTTTGAGGCTTCAAAGCTGGACTTCCAGAACTAATGAGTGGCATCATGGTAGCTACATCCACCCATCCAACTTTTACACCGTCTGTGTGAGTGAAACTTTATAAACTGCATCAAAAATGTACAAGAGTCAACAGCAAATGCACCAAAACAGGAACAGAGGGCACCAAGCACTTTAAACACACAATATAAAATATTACCATTCATTATTTATACACAGTATTAAGATTTCCCTTTAACAGCGTGTCAAAGCAGGAACTCAACATTCAAACCACACTTAAATCTGCAAATACTGTCTAAATTATTCAGTACAGTCAGAAATAGGGTTACAGCCAATTACCAACTAACCATAAGTGTACAAACTGAAGAGGGGGAAGAAAAAACAAAACTGAACATAGGAAGGAAATAAACAAACTTAGCTTCCACCTACACTTACAAGAACTTAAAAAACTGGCTCCAAACTGTAAATATACTTTGACCACATACCTGAGTTTTGGAATCGGGGCGGAGCCAGGGCAGCTCTCCATTTCTGCGCAATTCAGCCATCTTGGCATTGAGCTTGTGAGCCAGGACAATGGTAAGCGGCATGCACTCCTCTGTCTCATCAGTGGCATACCCAAACATCAGACCCTGCCACAGTTGCAGTCATGTGTCAAATCATTAAAGTACATTACTGCTACATTTCTGGCTTCAGTTACTTGGCTCTAGACAAAATGTATGAATCAGCTGACCTGATCACCGGCTCCGACATCCTCCTCTTTGCGATCCAGGTGAACGCCCTGGGCAATGTCAGGGGACTGCTGCTCCAAAGCCACCAGCACATTGCAAGTCTTGTAATCAAAGCCTATAAATCCCCCAAAATAAGCCTCAGTAAAATGTTTCAGCTTATTATACGTCAAAATAAAGTAGTATTAGGACAAATTTTGCGTCAACTGAATTTGTCACTATGTGCAAACAAGATCTGTAGACCAACTATAGTTGATAATAATTTTTTTTTAAAAAAAAGTTCAAGAATCTTTCAGCCTACGTCCATGATATCAGTGGCATTAAGCCAGAGTGATGGCACAAGTCTTTTTATAAAAAGGGTAATAATCAGACTTCAAGATTTACTGTAATTTTCTCCAATAGAGAAGAGAGTTACCATTACTTTTCTTTCTTTGGCCTTTTGGATATAACTGCACACATTTGAACCGGAGCTAAACTCACAGCTAGGTGATCTTACCTTTTGAAGAGTCGTTATAGCCAATATGTTTAATTGTGTCCCTGACAACCTTCTGGTAGTCCACATTAGCCCTGGAGGTGATTTCCCCAGCCAGCAGGATCATCCCAGTCTTGGCAACAGTTTCTGAGGACAAAAAACAAAAACAATATGCAGTGAAAGCAATGAAACTAAAAGCAATGCAAATGGCCTGAAGCAAATGCATGTCTACCATGTCTGCACCTAAACACCACCCTAGGGCAGAACTTTGAAAGCACATGATAAATTATTTGAATACAAGCCCCTAAAAACAACATTTTAAAAAAGTACATTTTCCAACTGGTATTGTTTCAGAGATTTGTAACATGCCCAATTTTGCAGAAATATGGTTCAACAGTGGATCATGTGCCATAGTTTTTTAAAAAAAAAAAAAAAAGCCTTTATGGTTGCCCTGCCTCTTTGACTTACCACATGCTACTTTGGCATCAGGATCTTGTCTGAGGTGTGCATCTAACACGGCATCGCTGATTTGGTCACAGATTTTATCTGTGGAGCAAAATAAGCACAACAGTTTAATGAGATTCCTTAGTTTGGTTGGTAAAATGACGATAACAGCTGATATTTTACTTCATAATTAAATGAATGAAACATTAAATTATGCATATTATAAAAAGCCAAGTCTCAAATTAAAAATTACGATCATTAAGAGAAGGTTTTACACTTCTTGTCACTTAAGACTGGATAATGACTAGTTTTCAATCAACTATAACAAAAGCAAAAATAATTTTAATGCAAAACAGATGCAAAGATATTTGTGCTTGTGTTTGCCCCTTCATGATATAGTTTCCACATTTGATTGCTTGAATGCAAAGAAATTGAAACCTGTAGCCTAAACTCCATATCCACATATTTAGAGGCCTTTAACTATAGTATAAGACCAACCATAGTGTGTTGGTCTTCAACATTTCCAAAAAACTAATTTTAGAACCGGTGTGACAGGATTTACAAACAGACTATTCAGCTTCCAGGTTGTTGAAGCAGTTTTTCTTCCCCTTCTAAATGCAAAGGCTGTGAACGGGACTACTTTGCCCCCAGAGTTGAGCACTAGCCCCTGCAGTGCCTATATTTAGGAGTACTGGTAAGCCTATTATCTGTTGCAACAGAGCTGCCCCAGTATGAGACTGAGAACCGCAGCACACTGTGTCCCAAGCTGCTCAATAATTCTTCAATTAAAGCATGCAAGACCTCAGTTTTGGCTTCTTGTAAGTCTTTTCACTGAAAAGATTTAACTAGTCTTGTCACAGCGTTTTTAATGATGGCTTAAGTGCTCTAGTAAGCCCTTACAGTGAATTAGCCAACACAAAAGCAGTCCTACCACAGGCCCGAGCCTCATTAAGCTTATCAAGTTAGGTTTTTGTTTGAGCTGTTTAGGAGAGGTGTCAGTCTGCGACGTGAAAAGTGGCGATAAAGCGGGACAAAACTACTCCTAAACATCTCCAACAAATTAAGCATCATTATCTGCCTGAACTTGTGATATGATGCAGTGCTAAAAGGTAGCCAAGGGTCCTAAATAACCACAAATATGCGTTTACTGCCAACACCCCCAACGGGATAAAACATCTGACTGCTGACGGAGGGATGGGGTGGATGTGATTGACAAGCACCAACAGTCCGGGATAACGTGGTGTTAGCATGCCAGCTAGCCGCCATGCAGCTAGCATGCAACCGTGACTTTGAGCTTTCAAATAAACTATTCCCTTAACTTCTAAGGAGTATAAATGATTACAGGTAGTCTGTAAAGTGTGTGGGAAACTTCACATTTTGTATAAACTGTTTAACAGTCCACAAAACTCTACACAGAAGCCGAGCAGGCCATTCTTTCATTCATGTTTTCTGAGTTAAAACGTTCTAAATATCAGTTTTATTTAGCTTTAGAGTTTAGCCGAAATTAGACTGCTCCAGCCAGTGTAACTTTTAGCCCTTTCCCTTTTAAAACAACCTTTACATTTATAGTTTTCGCCGCATTTTTACTTAAATCACGTTGTGTCCTCTTCCTTGTGTTACTTTTACTTAACATTCCCTGACTTTACTGTTCAAAAATAAATTAAACAAGCCACTGAAATTATTATTTCTAGCTTTTCAATAAGCTCCACTCAGACATGCCAAGCTAGCAGCAGTACCCAACCTTGTTTGACAGGCTAACAGGATGCTAAGCTAATTATTATGGTCAAGGAGGAGGAGGGAGGAAACTACCTCACAGACAGGGAATGGCACGTTAAAACTTACCGGGGTGTCCTTCTCCAACTGACTCAGAAGAGAAGAGGAAGCAGTCTTCATCGTAAACCGAGCTGCTGTTGTTAATGAAACCGTTCATCTGGTAGTTCATTTTAGCCACTCTTAGCTTACAAGCTAGCCGACTATATACCTACTCACACAGCTTTGATAGAAAACCAGGAGACACGTTTTACACCTTCACTAGGGTCACCTGCTCGCTCCTCTCTCACACATACACACGCACACACACACAAAGCGACAACCACAGTTAAAGTTCAGGGAAAACAGGACGGACCAGACAGCTGAATTTATGATCTGCACGAATTTCCTCAGACCCCTCAAATCATTGCTCTGCAGCCAATGTTATTGTTGAGCACATACCATGTGGTGCTCATGGGCGTGCTCATACCGAGAGCTAAACGCCAAATGGCGCTGAAGACAAATTGTTCAAGTGACTCAAGTGAACCCCGAGATCTGCTGCACGCTGTATTTCGTTGTGTTTAGTATTTGGAAAGCAGTTTCCAACTTTTGTGACAAGATGTTATGGTCTAGATATGTGGAAACACAAAAATAAGAACCCTAATAAACCATGATTGCACTATTAAAATATGTGCCATGTGAGGGATTAATTTATAGCGAGATTGTAAACACGTAAAGTATAAATTTCCACTGTACTGTGTGCAAAGTGTTTTCATATTTTTTTTTTTATTTGTACTGAAAACATTATGAGATGTGCAAAGAGAATAGGAAGAGGTCAAACAGTTTTTTGGAAAAATTAAAATTTTTGTAATACCCTCTGCACACCAGCACAATTAAATCAAACAATTAACATGTGATTCAAGTAGAGACTTTCAGATTTAATTTAAGGGGTTTAGCAAATGTATTGCATTAACTGTTTAGAAAGTACAGCCACTTTCAGAGGCTCAAATGCAATTGAGCAATTGACTGACAAGCAGTTTCATGGCCATGTGATGTCTTTCCCCCGATAATTCACAAAAAATTAAGCAGATAAGTTGATTCTAAGCATCCAACCTTTGTAGCTTTCCACTGGAACACTCAATAAGAGGTCCAAAGGGAAGATGGTGCAAGTGAAGACTGAAAAACCAGAGAAACAGCAACAACTTTAGGAAGAAATTCAGTGACCAGCTCAGCACCACCAAAAGGCCTAAAACATGACAGAAAACAGCTTAAGTGGATGATGACAGAATTGTTTCCATGGTCAAGAAAAACAGCTAACAAAACATCTAGCATAGTCAAGAAGGAGGAATGTAAATACAAATGGGTTTTAGAACAAGATGCAAACCACTGGTTACACCCAAAAATAGGAAAGTCAGATTAGACTTTGTCAGAAAACATCCAAAAGAGAGCACAGTTCATCTGTAAAAAAAATTATACAGATGAAACCAAAACAAACTTGCACCATAATGATCGCGGAGAAGGAGAGAAACAGCTCATGATATCACATTATCTGTCAAACATGTTGGAGTCAATGTTATTGCATGGGCATGTATGGGTACCAGTGAAACTGGGTCACTAGCATTTATTGATAATGTGACCGCTGATAGAAGTAACAGCATGAACTGTGAAGGGTACAAGGCTATACTCGCTGCGCATGTTCAGCCATATGCTGCAAAACTGATGACTCAAAGCAACCCAAGAGTTTCAAAAGGTAAAGAAATGTCTTCAGTGGTGAAGCAGTCGCCTGATTTCTGTAATTCTTAATCATATTATGTAATACTATTGTTAAACCCACAAACTAGAACTGAAATTCTGCACTCCACTCACAACTTGATCCACTTTTAAATCCACCGTGTTGGTTTACATAGGCAAAACTACAAAAGATATGTCATTGACCAAAGATCTACTGTACTTTTGGAAGTCAAAGCTTTGCATCTATTTTTTCAATAAGGTGCCACATTTATTATTTGATGCTGAAGAAATTCAAAAGTAATGTTAATGTAATGAGATCACACTCCATGTTTTTGTAATCCCAACTTTAAAAAAATGTTATTTGTGTTCTGGGATAGATAGAATAACTAGAATTAGTGTCATAATCCATTAAATTAATGAATGAATTATTAAGGGACACCAAATAGCTCCAAAATGGTACAGCCACATGAGGGCATCTCACCTTCATTTAGGCAGAAAAACATAAGTATCTAATGGAAATATATCTTCTCCAATGGTAAAATGAATTGGAATTAGAGTCCTGTTTTCTAACAATACAGCCATGAATATTAACATTTAACATGCTAACTGATTCAGTCTTATTTATTTATCCATTTATTTCAGTTTCACTGGCTGTTGTATGGTTAGTCCATCAAGTGCATTTGATCAGCAACATCTGGTTTATACTTACGCTCTTATTTACTATGGAAGCAGTAAGTGTGTACTTATTTTTTCACATGACCACAGAGAGTCCCGTGGTAAAGTTTCTTTTTCATGTGACTTGCTCAGATAAGGATTCCTTTTGTCTTATGCTTTTTCATCATCTTTGGTTTTGGATCTTGGATCTTGTTGGTTAGAGTTCTTAACATTGACTCAACATTGACTTCTTGTTGGACATTCAAAAGAAAGACTTTTTACCTTTTTGAAAACACCTTTTTAGTCCAGCATGCACTCTACACATACATGCAAAAATATAAGTCGAGTCCACGTCTCTTATGTTTTCTGTTCATGATTGATGGATGGCCAACTATGTAAAAAAAATAGGTACTCTGCTTGTGTCAAAATTTGATTGATGGCCCCAGGCTTGACCTTTTGACCCTACCGGAAGTACTCCGGAAGTGTCTAATCGATTCCAGATGTGTGTAATATGATTCCATATGTGTGACTAATCCCATCCGGTGGAGGAAAAAAGGAGGGGTGGTTCCTGGGGGGATCAGAGAGCGAGGGTTCCTGGAGCATGGAGAGTTCAGAGGGGTGACGCAGCAGATTTCTGTTGAGTCAGTGCTGTATAGAGAGACAGAGTGCCAGTTAGTTTTCCACAGACAAACTCGTAGTTTGAATTCTGTTTAAATATTATGACAATGTGACTTGATATCCTTATTCTCGGAAAAGAGCTATTTCTTTTTTTCAATAGCGGATGTATTTTACTTCCTTATATTACAGGCACAATAAAATAAAAACCTTTAAGATTATCTGACTAGTAACGGATTGCATTTTATTTATATATATATATATATATCAATAGTGCCTGGGTGGAGGTAAGCGCTTGTAATGAAAAAAGAAGGACTTTCTATCTGCTTGTAACCTACAGGCTGCCCACCTCGTATGTGTAAAAAAAACATAAATAACCCTCAGTGAAAAAAGCGCTGAATAATTTTATTAAAACACCCCCTCAAATGAGGTATTATGCGGGAAAGACTTTTCTTGTTTTTTAGAGTCACTTTTCCGACAGGTTTTCTCATTAGCAGAAAACTCTCGACAGACAGAAACTCTAAAAGAAAACGGTCTTCTTTTACGCACATCAAGGAGGAGTCAACAACCCCTCTAATCGTTATTAGTATTTCTTAATGCCTCCAGCCAAGCAAAGAATTTCATAAAGGCCCCAACTCCTTGTACGTGCAAAATAACCCGGATGACTAGGCCGGATTGAAGCATAACCGGAAGCGTGGCAGGGACTTTCCCTTTGACCTTCATCCTGCTCCATGATCAGCCGTTAAATCTTTCCTCAATATTGCTGTAATGTAACAACAAAGTTAGTTTTTTAAGATCAGACCGGTCCCAAAACATTCCTTACACACCCCCGCAGTCACTGAATAAGCATCTGTAGCACAAATAAGCTTCAGGGACTAAATTGTTTTTTAGAACCGACCTCTGACACTTAGATGTTGGTTTAATTTTTACCCAAAGAGAAATTTGACCCTAATAAAAAAAAAACAAAACATGATACTGTGGTGAATACTTACCTCAACTTTGATGTTTTTTTTTCACAGCTATTTATTTTGAAAAAAGTAAACATGTCACAAGGACACAATGCACATTGCAGAGTACATGAATGGGAAGTAGGAATTCCTCCTCTCTATACTTACACTCCTCCCTAACAAATGTCAAGTCATCATCTCCATATCGTGTGTCCCACTTTTCGAGTTTCATTAAAGTGTATCCAAGTGCACAAGATGTAAAACAATGTATTCGTTTTTTAAGCCATTCACCGAGTCCCTGTCAAGATGCCGTTCATTTAAGAGACTAATAATTTTTTGAATTTAAATTGTGCTAACTTCAACGCAAAAACATTAAAAATAAAACATATTAGAACTAATTTTTGTCAGACACAAGAACAACTCGAGCATCTTTCTTTCGGGAGCCGAACTAGGGCTTACAAGTTTGCCGTGCCCCTGGGGACCAGTGCGAGGTTGTGCGGCAGATCCTGGCGTGGAGGGTCCAGACACTCCCACAGCGCAGACTTTGCTATCCGCACAGAGCGTTTCTGGTGTGGCTTATGCAAAAGAGACAATACAGCTCCCGGTTAGCATGTCTGTTGTAGCCTGCCCTTTATAAATATCTCTTTGATTATTCAAACAGTGTTTTAAATGTGACTCGTTTGTTATTCAAAAACATTTCATCTATGTTACTGATTTAAAATATACAGATATATATATTTCAAGTTTTTTAGCTCAGACTCTTGAGCATATTCATATAGCGAATCCACATAACCAGTGTACACTCTAATGTACATCTTTGAACTGTATGTTAATCAGTACAAGAAGCTTCTGAAAAGAGTCCATCATTTGTGAATTTACTGATTTGTTTTTTTAACTGCAGTTTTCACAAACTGCGGATGATGAAATCCTCTGTATTGTACAAAAAACTGAGTTCCCGAGCTACTTCTTTACTATGTGAATAAACTATTTGAACAAGAAAGGATTTAAAGACACATTGAAGCAAAGGCAAAAAATTTGTAATGAAATTTATGTGACCGTTCTTCTGAAATCCGACACAGTGAAAATCCAAGAGCAGCTGCAATCCTCTGCATTAATGATCTTTCTGATCCTTCTGTGTGTGTGTGTGTGTGTGT